TTTTACAATAAACATTTAATTAAGTTTCAAATGAGTTCTTTCATCATTTTGGATGGATGAATGAATGGGTGAAACAGCAAATTAAAAATCCTCTCGTTAATAGCCAAGCGAGAACTGAGTTGCGACACGTGGTGGAGGCGCCGGGATATTCCATACGTTTAGCCAATTCAACTGTACAGTTCCAAGCTGATGAAACAGATATTGGAAAATGTACCACTCATAATTTCGAAATTTACAGACAAGATATGAAAACATTTGTCAAATTATTCTATTGGCAATCATAAGAAGCTGAATGAACAGATATTCTTTATGATTGCTCAACTTCAGTAATACTTTTCTTTCTAAGCTGATGAACAGTTATTAGAAAGTGTATTATTTCAGGGCAGTAAAAATGAGTTGAAAACAATAAACTGAACATATAAACTGACGGAGAAGGTTGAACATGTATAAGATTATTTTGACAAATGTCCAATCCAAAATATTCTTAGTAATGGCATTAGTAATGGCAAGACTAGGGGTCTTGAGGTTTCACCTATATAACTTTTTCCATAGGAACTATAGGTTTATTATAATACAATTATTATCAGTTCGTATCAAAAGAGATCTCAATGTGTTGGTGGTTCTAAATGTTGTTCTTACATTATACTTATAACCGATGCGTCTCAATTTCTCAGACAAACCGGGAACATAAAGTATGATGTTAGTTGTGAGGTTGTGTATTGTTGTTAGATTTGTGGTGATTGTGGGATCTTAATATTGCTTAAACCAACTTCATTGAAAGCTCTTCCCACAAACGGCTCCGGATATGCGTTTTGCTCCAAAACTATTTTAATGGTAGTTAATTCCTCCTTCATATTGTGAACCGAATTACAAACTGTTTTTGCTCCATCATCAAACATCTAAATATACCTTTTTTGACGCTTGCGTGGTGATTACATTTTTAGTGGAGGTATCTGTTGGTATGAGTTTATTTCTATACAAACTCGTATCAATAGTATTCATCGATTTTTATTATCGTAACATGGAGGAGAGGAAGTTGAATTTAAATTTTTCTCCCTAATGTAAATTTTATCGTGGGTTCTTTTGAGCTCAAATAATTCAAGAAAACGTTGATATCATTTGGGTTATGGTCCCATACAGCGAACACATCTGTTTAAAGATCTCTTTGAAATCTGTTTTTCCGTTAATCAGCTGTCGCACCCCTACGAACGACAGCCCTCAGAAGTCGAAACTTGTGCGAGCTAAGGACTAATGAGGTGGTCTTACCTTTTAACGTGTGATTCCTAATACGGGTTGGACGATACCAAGTTAAAATCGATCGTCCAGCGTGGAGCTTGAACCAGCGGTTGATGAACAAGGCGGTCGATTTGAGTGAGTGAACAAAGCACCTACGTCGAACCCACCGGCTACCGTACGTCAGTCTCCTCAAAATGTTCCTTGTTACTCAGGATCGGTTGCCATTCCAAATTCCTGTTGATAAAAATCCTCGTTGAACTGGAAACTTTTATCGGTACATAATTTCAGAAGCTCTAAAATAGCTTCTTTATTCAGGTTTCATCAACCGGAACATTGGTGAACAAACTCTCAACATCGAAACCCACCAGGAAATTTTTGGTTGCGAATTTGTAATTAATCAAGTTTTTCAAAGAAATCAGAAGTATTTTTTATGTAACTGTTCTTATCTCCCGACAGAAGTTCCAAAATTTGGAGGGAACATTTTGCAAGTATGTGAGAATGTTTTTGTGTTTGGCTAAAGTTTGATATATCTTTCGTTCCACCGATTTTCTTGGATTTTCTTCTATTTTTCATTGAACATTCATGGTTGTAACAGTGTAACGAAGTATACAATACAGATTCCACAGATGTGGAATGGGATCTATGAATGGTGATAAAGGTTACATTTCAAACAGCCAAACAAACAAAAATAATCAGAAATAGAAACCAGGTAAATATCAGTGACTAACAGGTAGTCAAACAAACTACTAACACATCACCTTCTGATAATGATAACTTGATTGTGGAAGCATAATCGGAAAAGATCATGTTTTCGTTCTTGTTTGGGGGAAGTATTCCGCCCCAGAACTTTTAATTGTTCATAACAAAGCATATATTGACTACTGAATGAAAAACTATATTTTTTTTATAACATGAGAGCCTCTAATCTCAGTTGTATTCAACATATTTTCAGTACGACTTATGGTGGGGATCGGACAAAGACCCAGTACCTGGATCGTTAATCGACTGGTGTGCTTTCAATAGATACCTGGATCTTGAGTCAACCTTCAAAGAGGCAGTTGGAGAAGATACCGTCAATAACATTGAAAAATCTGTTTCTTCTTAACATATATTTTGTCAAACAAATAAATGTGTACATTTCAGTCATCGTCTTCTTTTGGTTCACAAGCCTTACAGGGGTCAGAGGGTAACTGACCTTCAAGATCAGCTTTTTTCTTTTTCTTGAATTTTGAAACGAGTAATCTCAATTGAGATATGGCCTTTCCAGGAGAGAGTTTCTGAAAAGTTGAAGTTGAATGCTTCAACTTGCCTTCTATAAATGTTACTGGAGTTTTATCTCAACACCAAACCGTTATTTTTAACAGTTCGACACGTGTTTCAATCACCAAGTGACATCTTCAAGAGAAATATTAGAATGAATCTACATACAATGTTGTTTTTTTGCCATAGATACCTTTCCTAGGTACCTGTGTCTTAATTTTTCAATGTTGCCTCATCTATTGGTCTTAAATTAATTTTAAATGTTGCCTTATCTACTAGTCAGANGTGTAGGATGCTTTTATCTACGAGGTGCATATCCTCTCCGTAGTCCCCGCATCGTCCTCTTTTGAGATGGACCATTGCACATTTGTCTATCCCGAATTTCATACAGATAGCATGCGTGTACTCTTCCACCACCCTCAAGGACTGATGGAGATCCTTCTCTCCAGATGCATAATGTTTAAGATCATCCATATAAAACAAATGGGTGGCCTTGTGCCTACGGTTTCCGGGTGTGCCACAGTTATACCCTCGAGTATTTCTGAGCGCAACGGATAATGGCAATAGTGAGATTCAGAAGAGAAGGGGACTGATGGAATTGCCCTGAAATAGACCCCTTCTGAAAGTGACCCACCCTGTTTGGACTCTGGTTCGACCAGATGTTATGGTGAAGCGAGTTCGCCAGAGTGGTATCAGTTGTTCAATACATGTCGGTACCCGACAAAATAGTGAATTGTGAATTGAATTATGTTATTGTTATTGTTATCCCAAGAAACTTTATGTTGTGAATAATTTGCAGATTGCTGTTCGGATGAAACACTTTTGAAAAAAAAATTATGAGTGACACTCCAGCCCTAGCTGCATATGCAGCAGGAGATGAAGTTACCGCCATCTTCAAATAGGCGTCTTCTAGAGTTTTTTTCACCTCTTGAAGACGCCAAATTGGTTGATGGAACACACGTCGAGAAGAGTATTGCATTTCTGGTGATTGGGAAAAGTGCTTGTTTCAAGCCAAATTTATATTTATACTCCAAATCATCTTGTATACTCATCATGAGTGAGAATTCTCACCTTGGGACAGCATTTTGTACAGTTATTGATTTGGTGACATCTGAAAACATTATAATAATTCGTCAATTTTGAAAGTCTCTCAGTGGTGCCAGTATCTCTTGAATCTTTGATCCACCTGTAGGCATTGAGTAATGCTGCGGGTCCTAAAAAGTCATTTGGAGCTTTGGAATGTCCATGCCACCAGTATTCTGGGCAGGAAGTTGAACAGCAAGCACAAAGAATGCATTCGGCATAACCTATCTGAAACACGAATATAATTTTTCAACCACTCATTGGAAATGAAAGCTATTGTAAAGAATAATTCGAGTAACATCATTTTGTCCCACATGAAAAAACTAGGAAAATCATTTCCAAAAATTTGTAATGATCGACATAATGTTTACTGTTTCTATATTTATACCAGGGCAAACTAATATAAAGCGGAAATGCAGAAACAGAAAGAAGCAGATTTGATCCTTGATTTGGACAAAAAAATACGTTCTCTATAACTCTAATTTGTTCTTTAAGATCATGATTAATTTTGAAATTATATTTTGGGAATGGATAATAGCTACCTACGAGCTATATAACCTTCACTGCATATTGAAGGAACATGAAAAATACCAAATGAATATGAAACTATTCGCGAAGTCAAGCTACGAGCTATTTAACTAAACCAACAGGGCCTCAATACAAATTAAACAGATTGTATACGTAGAACACATTGATCTCCTAAATACATGTTGAAATATATGTTGAGTCCCATCTCAAATATTGCATCGCTAGTACAATTTTTATTCAATCCACATTTTATCATTTTTATCATATTGTGCATTTTAACGGTATTGAGTCATTAAATATCAATCCTTGAGATTGTTACTTTCAGAAATTCTCAGCATTCAAATTTCGATTAGATTTTATACCTAAGATTGTATCCCTCAAAATACTCAAAGAATTATAAATGGTCAGTTCACCTTATTGCTTCGTAATCCATCACAAATCTCAAGAAATATTTGAAAGTAGTAGAATTATCAAACTACCCTATCATCTCTGCCCTCTTGGGTTTTCCTAAGATTACCTAAAGGACTAAATCTGGTTCGGTACTATTTCTTTTCAAGAATATTGACATCTAGCTGTAGAAACTTAAGGTTGGTATTTGTGAATCTTCTCATTTATGGGGTGGGCCTATTCAAATGTTTCTCCACCCTCGAATTGTTTTCCCACCATATAAAGTTGCCCAAATCTCAGGTTGACGTTGTACGTATACACGGCAGACGTGCCACTCTACGCGGACGACACGGCCCTGCTGGCGAGATCTAGCAGTCAAGTACTCGTTACAAGATACCTGCAACAACAGGCAGACAGATTAGATGAGTGGGCTAACCTGTGGAAGATCAGTATCAACCCTGACAAGAGTCAGGCGATACTGTTCACCCGCAGGTTCGTACAACCGGAAGGCAACGTCATCTTCAACGGACAAGAGATTCCGTGGACAAACAAAGCAACATATCTCGGGGTCATCCTAGACAAGAAG